AAAGAGAAAAGAAGAGAGTATTAAAACAAGATCCAAAGGGTGGGTAAAATTGGGGCAGGTATAGCTACCAGAACTGCAGGCATTTCCCATTCAATCATCCAATCAAAGTGGCTAGTCTAATAACATGAATGAGATATAAATCAGCTCTCCACAGTTATCCTCACACTTCACCAGCAAATTAATTCCCTCTCTCAGGTAGTCCTGCAAAATAGGTGAGGCCTGGACCTCCTCTTTGCTGAAAAAAGGGGGCTTTGTGTTGTCCTCCAGGAAAATTGTTTTTTCTTTGTCAACCAATCTGGAGTAGTCACCAATCAGATTCGCCAACTTCAAGAGAGCCTTGAGTAATGACATAGGGAATGAGAGCCACGGGGTAATGGAGGGTTTGCTAGTTGGTTCCATAATCCTCTATTAAATTCCCTGCTTCCTAACCCCAATATTGGTTATCCTCACTTTACTGGAAGTTGCACCTTGTGTTCTTCATTTTGTTCAATTGCAGGTTAGCCGCATATCTACCTAAATTTCCCAGAAAGCTTCTACTCAGTTGTTACAAGCCGAAGACCTAAGACTGTGGGACCAAGCCCATTCTAGCTGCTAACCCGGTTCCATCGCTTCTTGGTATCCCATTGAAGAGCCCAATGGTTACCAACAACACCGCCAACAACGACAAAGCTGTTGCCAACCGTGGTCCAAACTCAAAGACCAAAGACAATCTCGCCACCCCAATGCCAGCAGGAAGTAGCTACGGAAAAATGACCATCACATGGGCATGGATCATAGAGACGGCCATTCATTTTTCTTATTTAACCAAAGAGGGGGAAATGTTACAATAATCACCCAGTCACAATCAGGCCCACCATTTTAGGCTGTACCTTCTGGGTTCTTCCCTTTCCCCTCCCTTCAACTCCATTTTGTAATCTTAGGTTTCTGTTTTCCCACCCTAAGCTACAAGGCATGTAGTTTAAAGGGCAACATGGCTTTTGATAAGCCAGAGCTAAATCACCCCAGCAATGACATGTGATCTCCTAATGTGAACCTATATAAGACCACTCCCTTCCTGTTGACTCTCTCTCTTTCTGCCTTCTGCCTTCTCTCTCGGGCAAAGGTCACCCTGCTCTTCCTCACCCTGAATAAAACTCTCTAGATGGGCAAACAAACAAACAAAAACAGGTGGGTAAAGAAGTGAGGAAACTCAATCTAGAAATGTTACCAGGGTGGGCTACAAAAGACTAGAAAGTCATGAAGTGAAATGGCAAGGGTTTATTAAGGAAGACATATCACAGACAGCAGGGAGACATACCACAGATAGCAGTAGCTTCCTGAGCTCACAGCTTTGGGGGATTTTAGCGGGCTAAAGACCAGGGAGGAGTACTGGTATGGTGCTGAGGGTTAATATGCTGGACTGCAAGTTCGGTTTGAACCAAAGTTTGGTGGTTCAAGCTTACCAGTCACTCCTCAGAAACTCTATACAGGGTCGCTATGAGTCAGAACCAACTCAGTGGCACTTAACAACAACAAATATTGGGAACATGCAATGGTAGTCTAAGCAGGAATTGTTGACAGCATCTTGTGGTTTCAGATGCAACTTCCTGGCTCTTCATTCCTCTGGTTGGGTGCTCATTTCTCATGCATGTGTACCATGTCCAAGACCCTGCTGCAAGACACAGGTCTGGTTCTGAAGCACCACACTGAGGTTAACTGCCTGACAAATAAATGGTCATTGTGCCTGCCCTGTGTGCTAGGGGTAGGGCTTGTGGCTCGTGGGCTTCTACATCTGTCAGACTTTGGGAGCTCAAAGGGGCATAGGAGTAATTCCAACTATTCACTAAAAAATAAGTTTTTTACTAAGTTTCATTTCCTGCCCAACCTGTGTTTTGCAATACCTGGACTTTTGCTAGAAAATCGTCTGTCTAGTCTTTATTCTTTTTCCCTCCTAGTTGTGCCTTTCTTTAACAGAAGTATTTTTTAAAAACCCTTGATGGAGGTAGATTCAATGTCTGTTAGGAACACAGGGCAGCTGGGAGCAGGGTGACTCGTTAACAGTTGGTCTAGTGGCTCTTCAGGTTGTATAGTTCTGGAGCCAAGTCCACTTGATTCCAGGTACCAAAGTGACGTGATACAACCGGCCCCACCTCACAATGGCATGGTTCTCAACCAAGTGGCTCCAAACTCCTGAAGAGCAGGGTCTGCACTGGGGATGCATGAAGGTGGGAACTGGCCACAGCATTGGTCTTCAGGGCAGCATGGGCGGAAAAGAAAGAATCACTCCTTTGTCATCACCTATGTGAATCTGCTCTGCCAGGGCACCTTCTGTTGCCAAAGCTGTTCACAAGATGGTAACAACGTCATGGCTGGCCGGCCAATCACCAGTTAGCTTCCCTCTCTCACCATTCCTGTTCATCTTCTCCTCCCAACAAGTACTCAATTCACTTCTCGAACCTTCTTTCTGAAGTTCAGGGTTCCAGAATTTTCATCTGTGTCTGTTTTATTTGGTACTCATATGTTTGTTGTCAAGGGTCTGTGTAGTGCATCTACCTGGTACGTCATCTTATTGGAAGTTCCAGATATATACTTTTTTATTATCATTACAGATATGCTTGTGATTAATGATTAGTATGTTTGCCTTTATTAATTAATTGATCGTGGATTAGAAGCATTCAAGAAATAGGTGTCTGTGTGTGTATGAAAGTGCTGGGTTACCATGGTTGCTTTATTCCTTAAGCTTTTGTAATCTTTAAATCTTGAATAAATATATACCAGGATGCCACCTGAGGTGTGTAAAAAGGATGCTTCAAGGACACTATGTTCAATGCTAATCAAATTTCATGTGTGACTGAGTCATAGTCACATTGAGCTCTCAAGTCAAAGAGTAGCCTTTTTGTCTTCTGTCTAAAAGAGAAGCTGCTCAAATGTTACAGAATTCATATGCCCAAGTCATTAAGACGTGGTTGTACATAAAAGATGCAGCACTGATAATTCAAAGCAGACAAGAAGAATGTGCTTCAGGAATAATTCTTCTTCAAGTCATAATATCTGGTACAAACAATAAATAAAGCCCTCTTTTTCTCCTTTAGCGCCCTGTGGTGAAGAAGTCACTGAGCCAGCTTGTTATCTGCCAATAACAGCAAGTTGAGGGTAGGCCTTCAGCTGTGGAGAGACTCATCTTTTAACAAGACAAAAACTGAGAATAAGGAGCACTGGTGTTACAGTGGTTAAATGTTCTGCTGTCGTCTGAAAGTTTGGCAGTTCAAACCTTCTGCCCCAGCAGTTCTGAGTAAGAAAAGAACTGGTTATCTACTTCTGTAAAGATTATAGCCATGAAAACCCAATGGGACAGTTCTACACTATGATATGAGGTCGCTGTGAGTCAGAACTGATTCATAGGGTAACAAATAGCAACAAAACTGAGAACTTAAGGAAATCCACCCACTGTCCTTGAGTCAATTCCAACTCATAGTATAATAAATCATCCAACAAAAGCAATAGTAATAAGGAATCAAAAACTTCTGTGATGAGATTGTTCATCATAGTATTTCCTGAACCTCATGTTATCTTTCGACAGTTAGGAAACGTGTATAGCAATGTTTTTAATGTTTGTTCTTGTCTGTTGTTGCTCTTTTAATCGCATACTTTTAAAAATCAATCTCTACTCAAGCTATGTAGATGTATTAATCAGACCTCCAATTTTGAATCTATGCTGAATTATAGGATTCCTCTACTTCAACACATTTATTAGCTCTCTTTGGCTTTATTTTCCTGTCTCATTCCTTAAGCATGCATCATTCTGCTCACATAGTAGTCTATGTAGTTCCTCTCATTCCTTTCTCCACCTGCTACCATGCTATCCACATTCCTAATTCCAGTTCAAACCCCTCTCTACCGTGAAACCTTCTTGACCAACATAATCAGAAGTGATCTCTCTCTTCTCTCAGCTCAAATAGCACAATTTTCAGTACCACTTACTTGATCTAGAAGTGTTTAAGGTTATTTCCTGGTTATAATTATCACACTTAGAAGTTCAATGCTAGGTGAGGGTAGTAAGAATTGTTGGCTGCATGCACAGAATCCAATTTAAACTCAAGTTGCTTTCTCAAAATTAAACTGTGAATTTCTATTTATAGCTTAAGCCGTAACTATGAATGATAGTTCCTTGAACAATCAATAAAATCTATCCAGTCCATACCATATTTGAGGTATTCTATCAATATCATCCTTCAAAACATTATTTTGCAAAGAAAGTGCCTTTTATTAGAAAAACATAATATGTGATTTTGTCCTAATTCTGTGTTCCTAGCATTAAGATGATAAAAATGTTTAAAATCCATAAATGTTTAAATTGCTGTTGATAAAAAACTATCCGACGTTCCAGAAGTTGGTCTACAGCTTCCTAGGAAACCACAGGACTCATCCTTATTATGTGATTTCTGAGACCTCATGTGAACTTTGAAACTGATGGCTCCATCAATTGAGAAAATACCTGTGTGTCACTAAGGGTTGAAGAGTTCAGAGGGGAGCGCTGAAAACAGTGCCACCTTACCTCAACTCTTAGATATTAAAGTGCCTTGAATTTACTCTAACTCATAAAACAGAGTCATTCCATCATTTATTTTAACTCAATTTATAAAAACACAAACATTCCTTTGGTTTTTAGCCTCTTCTCTCCTAATGCCGGTCTACAAAAGCATTCATTAGGGGTGTTTAAAGATAAAACAGTGTGGAAGCAAAACAAAACAAAACTTTGTTTAAGGGTAGGTGACTTTGATCTAAATTTTAGTCAATAAAGCATTAAAATAGCAAACACTTTGAAAGAAAAGTTTACAAAAATTAAGAAAAAACACATTTTTTGCTCATTTCTTCTTCTCTCCCTTTGGGTAAGCCTAACTTTTTCCTTAATAATTTAAAGTACTAAGATGAATTATCCCAATTTCTGCAAACATGACTGAGACACAATAGTTTCTCTGAAAGCTCAATTTGTTGGCAGAAAGTAGAACAATTGCTCTTACCTCTTAGTTCCCCCATGTCCAGGGTTGTCCCAAGTTGTTCTAATAAAGCGACCCTTGCCGCATTCTTTTTGTGTTTCTTGCCATCATAATGTTGCTGGGCCATCAGAGGATTATTAAACCAGGCTGCACAGAGCCCACAGTATCTGTCTGAATCTCTTCTTTGATAGGGAGATGCAACCACTGGAGCAGTGTCCACACAAGCAGGCTTAAGGGAGCTCAGGGGCGTTGCTGTGAAGGAAAACAACCAGAGAAAATCACGGGTCACATTAGTCCATTACTGAATGCACTTCTCATCAAGATCTCAAGCTGAAAACCACTCAAGTTAAGAATCTAAAGCTGAACGAGTCCTGTGCTCAACAATCCTGAAGACCTGTGGAGAGTAGGAAAATTATCACTGTCAATTTTCACCTCTGTAATTGTAACCAAACGAAAAATTCCTAATTTATTGAGATCAGAATTTGCATGTTGTTATGCGAAAATCTGATCACTCAAAAGGCTACCCGAGGAGAAGAGCCGAGAGCAGGACCCTACCCAGAGAAGCAGGCAGAGATGGAGGCAGAGATGATGAAATGGGGAGATAGAGCGACTGGGGATTTTAGACCCGGAAAGAGAGGGGCTGTGTGCTGACAACTGGGGTTGTCGGGGAGGGGGCAGGCTTGCAGGGTATACCCTCTGGTTGGTTGATGATGCAAAGAGGGGATTGTAACCATGGCAATGAAACGATATACAATAGGATGAATATAAAGCTAATGTTCTCCCAAGTAAACTATCACATAATTCAAAATAAAACATTTTTTTTTTTTAAAAGGCCACCCCTTAGGAGAAAATAGGAGGCTAATTTAACAAATTCTTGGGGATAAGAGAATGATCTATTACTCAAAAAGAAGTCAGTTCTTGAAGGAAGCATTGATGAATCATGATTTTAAGATTCTGGGTGACTGAATTGGACGTTCGTGTGCTATAAATGGAAAGAATTAATAAAAAAGGGATTTGTCTAACTGCTAGAGGCAGATCTTTCAGTGGCAAGGATCACACAATTGAGGAAATCTTGCTAATTTTATTGTCAGCTACTTCTGTTTCTTGTGGTAAGTTATTTTCAGCCTGTATCTGCTTAAATGGAGTCTCGGTGTGGCGCAAGAGGAAAAACCCTTGAAAGCAAGGTTGATTTGAACTGCAAGGTTGGGTGTTCAAACCCATCAGCCACTTCTTGGAAACCCTATACAGGGTTGCTATGAGTCGGGACTAACTCAAAGACGCTTAACAACAACATCAACAATCTGCTCAAATGGATGCTAAAAGTACAATCTGTATTTGTCTTAAGGCCAGAAGAAAAACACTATAGAACAGATGTTGCTTATCAAAACTAAACAGACATATAGGACTATTTTGAAGTTGGAAGCCCCACTTATTAACCTAACACATTCCATTGTGTGGCTATAGTTGGAAGGTGTTTACTCATGGAAATAGGTGTGGCTATAGGTGGAAGGTGTTTACTCATGGAAAGCATAAATAACTTTTGTATGCATTTGTTGTTAAGTTATTGCGAAGTGCTGTTGAGATAGTTCTGACTCATATATAGGGTTTCTAAGGAGTGGCTGGTGGGTTTCAACTACTAACCTTATGGTAAGCAGTTCCATGCTGATCCTCCAGTGCCACAGTAAGACTTGTTGTTGTTGTTAAGTGTCATCAAGTCAGTTCCAACTCATAGCAACCCTGCATAGGGTTTCCAGGGAGCAGCTGGTGAGTTTGAACCACCAACCTTGTGGTTCAAACCAAATTTGCAGCCCAGTGTTTTATTCCACAGTGCCACACACCAGGATTTACTGCCTACAAATTGCTTTCTTCCTTACAAAGACTCTGAGACTTGAATTCTTATCCTGTCTCTCAGATGATGGGTTTCTGAGATGCCATGTCCCTTACCTCAAGTGAGTTCTCTTGTTACAGTAAACGTGGGACTCTAAATCAAACAAACGCCCAGTCCGGCATTCTTTCCAATATCTCCAAGGACTCATCTAGTATTTAATAAGCCGATTCCCAACACCCAAACCCCCACTCATCTTTGTACTTTATGCATGATTTAATTTAATGGTAAACAAACAAACATATTCTGACCCAAATGTTTTTGAGAAGAGAAAAGACATTTAAATGTTTACATGGTCCATCAGACATAATCCAATATAGCAGTGCCTTCTGTTTGCTGCTTTGTCACTGAGAGGAATCGTGGAGCTGAGGAATAAGGTTGTTTGAAAAGAAAGCTGAGATTCGGAACCTTGGTAAAAAGTTAATCATCTCCCCAAGATTTCAATAACCTCTACAATGGAATTTCACTTTTAGATTAAAAAACACTGATAAATAAATACTTGCCAAATGATATTTTAATTTAAAAATGCTTGTATCATGACAATATCTTGAGGAAGGCTGTTTCTCCTTTTTTCAGAGATTTCTTCACATAAAGGAAGCTTTCATTAGTTTAGATAAAACTTAATGGTGTTATTACTATAGGAACTGAGAGACAGAATACATTTTCTTGAATTCCTCATTGCAGATTGGTCTGTATATCACTATGTAGAAATAAAGTTCACATCTGAGCAATAGGATCCCAGCAGCCACACAGTATCACTTTGCTATGACTTAGAAATGCTAATAAAAAGCTACAAATATGCAGCTGACCTCTGTGTGAAAGAACCTATATCCACTTTTCTCAAGGAAATTGGATCCTGCTTCCAAAGTTTCTTGCATTCTTATCTGTTTCTGAGGAATTATAGTTACCTATTGTTTTTGATAGCTATGGAAAATATATCAAATGTTTGCAATCTGAATAACTGTTGACTCTTGAAGTGTAATTTACTTTTCTCTCAGCTGAGTCCTAAAAAACACTTCTGAGTGGATTTTATCAATCGGCTGGAGGGCTGTACAATAGGATATTCATCAAATAAGATAATCTTATCTGACACATAACAATGTAGTTTGACTCTGAATCTGCATTGTAGCTTACTCTTCTGAATAATTCTACTATTTTGTGTACAGCTCCAAAAGTTTAATTTTTCTTTTACGTCTGTTTTTCCTCATGCCTGTAGATACAAACAAAGACTGCAGCATGATAGGAGTGGAAACAGCCTTGAATCAAACCAGAAATCTAGATTGGGCTAGCTTCTTAAATCGTATGACATTGTGGTTTCTACAAGGTTGCAATTCAGGATCATCATCCCTTTTAAAATTAACATTCTTTTCATTTAATACATAGGATAGATATAGAATAAATAAAAGAATCTCTGTCCCTGTTATGGATTTGAATGGATGCCAAATATGGAGATAATTATAAGGGAGAGCATTTCCAGGTTTTACAACTAAATCCATGTGTCTACTTGACCATCAAACCCGCATTTCTTTGACAAAATTGCATTATGCTAACAAAACCAATAAAAAGTAGAGCGAAAATTATCATTTGGTTTTAATATATGCTTTTTTTTTTTTTTAAAGTACCTTGGTATATATTTTATATTTTCAACCTAATTACAAAACTATTTGACTAAATATTGACACTGCCTCCCTATGATAAACTTAAAATCAAGAGTTCATTTATATAAACTACTGGTTTTCCGCTTTGGCTGAAGATTAGACTCACCCAGGAATCTTTAAAATCTCTATACTCATAATCGCTATGGCCAGAAAAACTGTACTGGAATCTTTGAGGTGGCAACCAAATATCAGCTATTTTCAAAGTTTATCCCCTCCCCATACCTCCATCTATGATCCCAAAGTAAAGCCAACATTGAGAACCAATGATCTAAATATTGCTGGATTTTTGTTGGAAAATGAGACTTGTTACATCTTCATGCAGAATACAGTAATAGATTACATTAAACACGAATAGAACTAGTTTTTCTGCAGGTGATAACCAATATATCAAATATCCACAAAACAGAAAAGAATAACAATTACTTATTTTTATTTTTTTTAATTCCCATTTCAACAAGATAGAAAAAGGTCTTCTAAAAAAGGAGTTCACAGTAGAAATTAAAACTGGTAAAATTAAATAGCAATTCTGGATCCTTTTTCCATTCAGAAACTCAAATATGAGGCGGCTTCAGAAAGTTTATACAAAAATGGAATTAAAAGTAAATGGCTGGCAGAATTGGAAAATGATATGCAAAAGTCTGAAACAAGACCTTCACCTCACGCCATATACAAAAACCAACTCAACATGGATTAAGGACCTAAATGTGAATCCCAGAATTATGAAGGTCATCAATGAAAAATTCGGGACATATGTGAAGGCACTAA